ACACCGGCCGCTTCCTTTCTCCCACGCGAACGCTGCGAGCAATCAACTTTTATGCATAAAAAGCTAGACAAGTACCAGCATTTATCATTGAAAGAGAAAGAATGAAAAAAGCATTTTGTGTTGCCTACAGAGGCCAGGAAATTTTATTATTTATTTGGAATTACCCTGAGGGCCAGGCGCAATATAGATGGGAGTGGTACTTAAAAAAACACAATACGAAATTTTGCACAGTGTTTCATTTTGCACCACCCACCTTACGACAGCCTCGGCCGAATACAACGTTTTGTGGTAGGTGGAAAGACGCCGGAAATTGTAAAGGAATATGTCTACTTAGGACAGGTAGTATCCACGGAGACGAACAATGAGAGTGAAATAACTAGAAGAATAAGAATGGGTGGATCAGATTCGGCAAGCATTCTCAAATCACCAATGGTAATCTGCCACTAACCCTGAAGAAGAGGGTATATAACAGCTGCATCTTGTCGGTACTCATTTACAGGGCAGAACTTGGAGGCTTACAAAGAGGGTTCAGTCTAAAATGATGCTGAACCCTAATAGTGATGGAAAGAAAAAAATCATAGGTGCAATGTGAAGTGACAAGAAGAGAGCTGCGTGAGTCAGGGAACATACCGTTGTTGAATTCAAGGAGAAATGAACATGAACCGGACACGTAGCACGTAGGCAGGATAACCGCTGGTCAATAACAGTAACTGACTAGATTTCCAGAGAAGGCAAATGCTTGAAAGGGAGGCAGAAAGTTAGGTGGGTCGATGAGACTAAGAAGTTTGCAGGTATAACGTGGCAGCAGAAGAAAGCACAAGACCGGTTTGATTGGCGGGTCATGTAATAGGTCTTAGTCCTGCAGTGGGCCTAATAAAGCTGATGATGATGATGATGATGATGATGACCCTAACTAGGATGGCTTCTACACGTCTAAAATATGCATCCGCCAATTGGGACCCACCACCAAGTGACCTAAGAAAGTCCATTGAACTAGTTCAAAACAGCGCAGTAAGATTACATTCAGATTACTCGTATCAAACCAGCGTTACTACCCTTAAAAGTAAGGCAGGTCTACCTAACCTAGACTTGCTCCTTAAGACCTCCAGACAGTACTTGTATCACAAAATGTATCATGCGTTTCATTAAAACTCTCCCATTCAACCAGCCCATCGTACTTCAGCCCGCACAAGTTGCCACAAGGCCGTCTACCCACCTCCTGCTTGCACCATAGCCTACTGTCATTCCTTTTTCGTTCAGCCAGCCAGGGACTGGAACGATCTTCCCCCAAGCATCATCGATCATTCCAACACAGACAAATTCAGGAATGCCATAAAATCATTGTTTTATGAACTCTACATAGTTTGCCCACACCCTCATCTTAAAGGGCCTTTGAGGTATATTAAATAAATAATCACTGGACGATTTCTAAGCTGGCTCCGGCAACTTGAATACACTTTAACCTTGATATAATGAATCCAGATAATTTTCGGTTATAATGAATACAATGATAACGAATTATCAGTTATAAATGCAGTATTATCTTGGTGTAGATCACCAAAAACGAGTGTATGTGCGCTACGAATCCTACACTCTAATTGTAGACATTGTCGTAAATTCAGTTTTCACCTGCTTGAAGCGAGAACTCTTTTAGAGCATACGAAACATATTAGAGTGCATTCCTGAGAAAATACCTTGTTGGTTTAAATTATTCTAAAGTTTCTGCATTGGTGCTTGTGTAATGCTTTAAATGGCAAAGTGATAAGTCTGCTTTCTCTGGGCAGGCTGGTGAGCAGAGCCGGCGCAAACTCAACGAGTCTCTCTTCAAGGTGAGCTCAACTTGGTCAACGCTTCTGCTGCTTTTTACACATTCCGCAGCTCTCTTTTCAATGCATCTGAGAAATGGGTGATGGAAGTGGACAAATGGTGGTCTACACTAGGCTGAGGAAAGATGAGTGGCACAGGTGCTCTGTGTTTGAGCCAACCCAAGTGTAAGGCTTGGCCAGTCTGCTGTGGATTGTTATAATTGTTCTTCTCTTGTATAGATTGCGATGCTTAAAAGGTCTTGCATGTTTAACTTTACGGCAGTGCTACTAATTGTACTGCTCTAAATGATATGGCATCATTTTATACCAATTAATAGGTGTCTCGATTGGCCTGTTTTATCTTTCACCCAGGAAAAGACTCCATTCAAACGGGAAAGTGCGGTGCATACTTGTGAGGTGGTAGTGTCCTGAAATGCAGGCTTTGAGCATAAAATGGGCTCTCTAGATCACCAAGAACGAATGTGTGCACTATAGATCCTGCACTCTAATTGTAGACATTGTTGTAAATTCAGCGTTAACTTGCTTCAAGCAAGAACGTGATTGACGGCCTACACCACTAAGAATTAAAGGAATGTAAAATATTGTAGCCGCATGCTTAATAAATTTCATGTTTCAGTTTAGAAGCGACTTTGAAGTGAATAGTGAATGAACTGATTTCTGATTGAATAGTTTGAATAGTATATATCTCTAATTATAAAGGAGGAAAAGAAAAACTCGGACACAGAGGTTAGCCTGTTCTGATTATAAAGTGAAATTAACATTTTATATGTTTGCCCGAGTGCCTTCCTTGCTCTGAAGCAAAGCGAAATCAACATTGAATACTATTTGCAGAATTTGAATAACGCTATAGTGCAATTTAAAAGCGGTGAGATACGTTCTGCTCTACGAGTTGCTATACATATTGCATATAAGCTTGTATAGCACACTTTTAATTCAGGAGAAAAAAAATAATTGAATTGCAGGTAATACGTAGGCTTAACTTTAAGGTGCGTTTTTGCGGCAGCGCTGATTTTCTCTCAATAGGTGGGTGGTTTCACAGCATAGCAAAGATGTGTCTATGCAGATTTGAATACACTAATATCCGTTTGAATATTCGAAGCGCTCAAATTTTCGCCAGCGCTTAGTCCCACGTTGCCACGTTCAGGTGGACAAGTCCGCCGCAGCCGACAACAAAGATATGACCACCATCGAGGAAGAAGGCTCGGACACATCTCTCGGCGATGGCACTGTGAATGATGCTGCGGAACAGACTCCAAAGACGCTGCTCAACCAGTCTAGTCTGGAGGTGACCATGCGACGTGCTGCACTGAGCAAAGAGCTCGAAAATTTGAACAGAGTGTTGCAAGCCAAGGAGGAGCTTGCCAGCAAGATATCCATGAATGACCAGCACCTTGAGGTCATGAAGGCGCAGTTCGAGGTTAGTGTGTGCTTGCGCACCACTGCTTTAGTCTACGTATTGCCATCTACCTTGGGTCTGATATTTAGGCTCAACGATTGGAACATTAACTCAAGAGTGCACTTGCTAACTCGGGTTAAATAGCAGTACCAATGGGCTTCTCCTGTAAATCTACGCTAGCGTACCTCGGTAGAACCCAAACAAAATTTGTGTGGTTGTGCCAGTCGGCGACATCTCGTTCCTGTGTCAAGTGCTTGTGCAGGTTAAATAAGATGTTAATTTGCCATAAAATGTCGCTGTGCTGACAAATTTATTTTGGGATTCTTGAGTTAATTCGCTTTTTTTTTTTTTTTGTTCCGTTGCGCTCGGGATTTGCAGTAGCTGATCAAATGTAGTTGATGAGCTCTCCAATGCCAGCTTGTTGGTGAATCAGTTGCGGATCGCCAGCACTTGTGGTGTCCTTTCGTGCTTTCTCGTGTATACGTATATTTCCTTGCTACAAAAAAGCTGTTCTGCTGATCTAAGCTTTCTCAGCTTTGTGCAGAGTTCTCCTGGTAGGGCTTTTGCAAAAGTGCATTGGTGTTTGTGTATATAATCCTGGCATTCTTGCCGGGCATATGTAGGCATATGTAGTTAACTGTTGTGCGATTCAGGTCGTGAAGCTCTTGAAGTACTGTGTGCACTAGTGTCATCATCATCAGCCCGACTACGTCCACTGCAGGACAAAGGCCTCTCCCATGTTCCGCCAGTTAACCCCTGTCTTGCTGCTGCCAATTTATACCCGCACTTCTTAATCTCGTCTGCCCACCTAATTTTCTGTCTCCCCCTAACCGCTTCCCTTCTCTGGGAATCCAGTTAGTTACCCTTAATGACCAGCGGTTATCCTGTCTACGCGCTACATGCCCGGCCCATGTTCATTCTTCTTGATTTTAGCTATGATATCCTTAACCCCCCGTTTGTCGCCTAATCCACTCTGCTCTCTTCGTGTCTCTTAAGGTTACACCTAACATTTTTTCTTTCCATTGCTCGCTGCGTCGTCCTCATTTAAGCTGAACCCCTTTGTAAGTCTCCAGGTTTCTGCTCCGTAGCTAAGTACCGGCAAGATACAGCTGTTATATACCTTCCTCTTGAGGGATAGTGGCAATCTACCTGTCATAATTTGAGAGTGCTTGCCGAATGTGCTCCACTCCATTCTTATTCTTCTAGTTACTTCAATCTCGTGGTTGGCTCCGCGGTTGTTACTGTCCTAAGTAGACGTAGTCTTTTACAACTTCAAGTGCACTATGACCTATCTCGAAGCGCTGTTTGCTTCCGAGGTTGTTGTGCATTACTTTCATTTTCTGCAGATTAATTTAAGACCTAATTCTCTGCTCCTTGTCTAGCTCCGTAATCGTGAGTTGCGATTCGTCCCCCGAGTTTCTTAGCAATGCAGAGTCATCGGCGAAGCGCAGGTTACTAAGGTGCTCTCACTAACTCTTATCCTAACTGTTCCCATTCTAGGCCTCTAAAAACCTCCTGTAAGGACGCGGTAAATAGTATTGGGGAGATTGTATTCCCCTGCCTTACACCCTTCTTGATTGGTATTCTGTTGCTTTCCTTATGAAGCACTATGGTAGCAGTTGATCCCCTGTAAATTTCTTCCTGGATGTTTATACATGCTTCGTCGACGCCCTGATTCCGCAGTGTCTGCATGACTGCTGATATTTCTACTGGATCAAACGCCTTCTATGAAGGCTATTTATAGTGGTTGGTTATACTCTGAGCATTTCTCTATTACCTGATTGATAGTATGAATGTGGTCGATGGTTGAGTAGCCTGTTCGAAATCCTGCTTGTTCCTTTGGTTGATTTAATTCGAATTTTTCTTTACTCTGTTAGCAATTACCTTTGTAAATAGCTTGTATACTACAGAGAGCAAGCTAATCGGCCTGTAATTCTTCAAGTCCTTGGCATCTCCTTTCTTATGAATTTAAATGATGTTAGCGTTCTTCCAAGACTCTGGTACCCTTCCCGTCAGGAGACACCTGGTAAACAGGATGGCTAGTTTTTCTAACACAATCTGTCCTCCATCTTTCAGCAGATCTGATGTTACCTGATCCTCACCAGCAGCTTTGCCTCTTTGCATGCTCTCCAAAGCTTTTCTGACTTCTTCTATCATTACTGGTAGGGTGTCATCTGGGTTACTGCTAGTTCTTATAGTATTAAAGTCGTGGTTGTCCCTGCTACTGTACAGATCTCTGTAAAACTCCTCCGCTATTTCAACTGTCCTATCCATATTGGTAGTTATTTTGCCTTCTTTGTCCCTTAGTGCATACATCCGACTTTTGCCTATCCCAAGTTTCCTCTTCACTGCTTTGACGCTTCCTCCGTTTTTGAGAGCTTGTTCAATTCTCTCCATGTTATACCTTCTTACATCGCATACTTTACGTCTATTAATCAACTTCGAAAGCTCTGCCAGTTCTATTTTGTCTGTTGTACATGACACTTTCATGCTTTGACGCTTCTTAATTAGGTTCTTAGTTTCCTGGGAAAGCTTGCCAGTGTCCTGTCTAACTACCCTGCCTCCAACTTCCACTGCACACTCCGTAACGATACTCGTTAGATTATCATTCATTGTATCTACGCTAAGGTGGTTGGTGTACTAGTGTATAAATCACTTTTTTGTTACGTTCTACATTTTCATTTATTCCATTTCATATTTTACAATTTTTATGTGCGAAACTGCGAGATGCAGGCTGTACGTAGGAGCGGCCTTCGCAGGACAATATATGATAGCTTTTGGGGCTGATGACGCATATTGTGTGCTGAACCCTGATCCGAATGATATAGCCTTGCTTCTTCTGTCACATGTGAATTGTTTTTTTTTTTTTGCAGGCAACCAATCGTGATCTCGAGCGTGAGATAGCTGCTCTCAAGAAGGAACGTGATGAGCTCTCTACCATGGTGGCAAGTCAGCAGAAGTCTGCTAAAAGGTTAGGTTCTGCATGTTTGCGTGTGCTGTTCGTGCTTGCGAAACTACAGCTGGACTCCGTTTGGCTAGTTGATTTTGAATTTCAATCCGAAGCAGTTTAGAACTTCCCCAAAACAATTAATGGGCAAAAGGCCCCAATTCTGTGGAGGGGCAAATGGAAATAATGCCAAAGATAAGATGCACCGTTTTGATGCGCACTCCCAGCGCCACTTCGCTTAGCACGCACGCTTTGAACTGTGCTCCCCACTGACCTCTGTGCCAGTGGTTTGCATTGTCTGCTCCGCGATGAGTTTTTCACGACAAAACATGTATTTTTCTGATGTTATTCTTGCTGGGCTTTTGGGGAGAGCTGGAAGTTCTTGTATCGTGCTGTATGGCTGTAGCGCAAGTTTCCGGAAAGTTGTGTGCGTTGAACTTAAAGGAACAGAAGTACAAGTCGCTCAAAACGAATTCAGTGCTGCTAAGAATTATTCACATAGAGTAGAGCTATACTATTTTCGCGAAATGGCACACCTTTAGCGCTCCATCGCTAACTCTGGTAGAAAACCTTTGCAAGATTGCATCTTTACTGTCATCGTCATTAGACCAACTAGTGGATAAGACTAGATCGAAATACTCGAGGCGTGCTAGCCTTTCTGCTGTCACCATACCTGCCCCTCTGCGTCGTCTACTGGCCGTCCGCTACGCGCACAGCTTGCAATGAATGCTGGCATTGCACAGCACCGCTCTGAAGATTTCTTCAAAGCAACAAAGCAGCCAGTTTGCCGTGGACAGCAGGTGCACACAAATGTGCACTGGTGCGATTTATCAAAGGCACACAGGCGCGCTGGTATACCCTGGGGAGCATTGTTGAATATGCCATAAGTGAAGCTAGCACAAATGAAGACTTGCACTGAGGCTCGGACAAGGACTTGTGGATAAGGCTAGATCTTTTGAAAACGAGCGATTTCACTGTAGCTCTTGGATAACGGTATGAGCACTTGACTGACAGTATTAATTACAGTAACTCAGTATGTATGTGGAACTGACCGTTTCCTTATTTGCAATGCTATTTGTTCTAGTTTACTTTTACAAATACTTATGCAAGGTGCCTATATTTTAATGCAATGCAATTGGAAGGCTTTAACAACAATACCGCATGTTATACAGTGGCTGTTACTTAACTGAGAAAGCATGGAGTTCCAGTAAATCAGTATACCTCTGCTGGGTTTCTGCAACTGTACATGTCAAACAGCTGTAAAAATAGACTCGCTCTCTCCACACTGCACATTTTTTCAAGCACACATTAAATAATGGCAACAAATGACGAGCATGACCGGTTACTCATCCTGTCCATTATTGACTGCCCATTGACCAGTATCCTAACGACTCTGTACATAAAGCAGTACAGCAGACACTCCTCCCCCCAATGATGGCTTAGGTTGTACAAAAAGAACAAACCTAATCACTGTTTTGGGAAGTAAATAGAAAACGTGGAAAACTTGGATACCTTGTGGTTCTAGTACTATAACTAAAGCATCAGAAAAATTCAGGTTCAATACCAAGTGAATTCCTTGAAAATGTTGAATGGCTTGAGCTGACTGGACTTAACTTTAGGGATGTCTACAGAAAAGTGAAGAGCTGTAACTTGTGGTGTACACGTATCCCGAAGGAGTACGGCCCCAGCGTGGGTCCGGTCTTAGCGAGCCGCAGGGCACGCGTTAACCGTCGCCGTGGCGGGAAACACGATACTGCTCAAGTCGCAACACTTTATTGTGGCAACACCAAACGCAGTACAGCCCGTTGCAAAAAAGGCGCGGCGGGAAAGCAAGTAGGCTTATCCACGCCACGGGCACAAAGTACTACACAGGGTGCCACGAGCACGTCTCCGCGGTAAAGGTAATCCACGGAGACACCGGGACCAAGGGGCCCGGTTGCTCGGGCGAGGGCAAAGGCGCTCGCGTTGGCTTCGAAGGAGACGGGTCGGCGTAGCTAGGCCACGCACTAGGACACCGTACTGCCCTTCGGCCGTGAGTACGCAGCGGGGCAACAAAAGGTGAGCGTTCGCATCGGGCGCGAGGCGCCGTCAGCGAAGTCCGACGAGCCCCGAGCGACGGGACTCGACGGACGGAAAGAATGCGTGGCTCACCGTTTGAAGTCCCGGACTGTACTCTCTGCTCCCGACGCAGCGCGCGAAAACCTCTCGGGAGGCTCCCCGCGCGCGGCGCCACAGTCCCATCCGCTACCGGTGAGGGAGGTAAACGTCACTCCGCCCTTCCCGCGCGGCAGACAGCAAAGGAGGGCAGACATGTCGGGACATGAGAATGGCAGAAAAGGCGGGAAAGCCCGCGCAAAGGCAGCGGGCCAGCCTCCATTCCCACAAACTTCAAACTTGCCAAGACTCCTGGAATGGTCGGGAGACTTCCGGATTTCGACTATTTCTTCCGTTTGTACGGTTATTGTAACGTATAGTTTGTACGGCATTGGCAAAAAAGCAGCTCGATCCGCTCCAGGCTTTTCGAACCTACCCCATTTTATTATAAATTAGTTTAAGAAGCATTCTAACTTACACCAGAATCTCAGTGATGCGAAACCGCAGCAGATGGGAATTTGTGAAAATCTCCGGCCAAATTCTACCATGTTCATTGGGCCTAAATTCGAATACTCCGAACACATTTCCTAATCGCGGCGGGTGATACAAACTTTAGTACGGGAACCGTCACACGAAGACCGAGAGCAGCATACTCGAAGCTTTGGAAGTGCACATGCGACCGGCGCGCGCACTGTTTTCTACAGTGCGTGTGATTGTCGTTGCCACAACCGCTGTGGACGAAACCGCGGTTGCTGTTGGCACGATCATGTATGGCGACAACGTAACTGACAGAACCCCGAAAGTGTGCGCTCAACCAGTCAAATCAACGTTGCTTTCCGCAAACTCTGTGGACTTAACTGCGGCAGATGCGATCTTGGATCGCATAAAACTACTTAGTTTTAGCGCCTGCGCATCCAAGTGCACGAGGATCGTAAAAAGAACTACCGTTTGTCGCAAGCACCGCGCGGTCGCGGCGACGCGATAGCGATCTACAAGCTCCGAAGGCACGCAGTAGTAGAATAAAGGCCCTAAATACGTAGCAAAAATAAAGAAAACAAAAGTTGGTTTTGCCGTAAGGGCAAAGCAATGAATGCGACGGCAACAACTTGGAGTGTCACGCTGAGAACGGCAAGCAGATCGTAACATGCAGCATGCTGCTCTCGCACGGGTGACCCACGAAAACGATACACACAGGACGAGAGCAAACTAACGTTTACCGCTCGACACGTAACGCACTATTTAAACAAAAACCATGCACGATACGTAATCACAGATACTGATGAGTACAAACAAGTGTCCCAGTGTTATACCTCGCTGTGTATAAAAAGCATGCTCTTTTCGCAAACGGGGCCTGTGCAGAGACCAAAGTGACCTTTGGGGCCCGGCAACTAACGCAAGCAATCGTTGCAGTAAAAGCCAGAAGCAGTGCCTCCTCTGGCCAAAGGCACACAATTCTTCCCACCAAAGGATAGGCGCGCGCAGAAGCATCTAAATCCCCCATCCGTGGGGCAAAGTACGTGTGCAAGATAAGCGCATCACCACGAGCTAAAGCTTTATTATTTTCTAGTGTTCATATACTATACGGTAATTGTACCGAAGCATAGTGGCGCCAGCTCTGTGCCAGTGTGAAAGAAGACGTTGACGTCCGTGTGTGGGTCGTGCTTGCCGGGTTCCTGCCTGTACCAGCTTGTTGCGGCTAACGTTTCTGGAATAATAACCTGCGTTTTTACGCAACCTTGCTCATTGCATTTGGTGGAGGTGCTGGGTAACGTCCTGGAGCTTTTTGTTTCCATTCAGCACGACAATCATAGATCTCCCTCGCTCACCCAAAAAGGGGATCGTCGCCGCTGACGTCGTCATTTCTGCTTTTTCGGTCACCGCGGTATCTCTTTTGTGCAACTCTGTTTCCGATTCAACTGCCCTATTTATGCCGTCACAAGAATGCGCTCGTCGCCGGAACCTTGTCGTCCCGTTTGCCGTCGTAACACTTGCCGATGGCTCCAGTGCCGTGTACGTGTCCAATCCGTTCCCTTGTCCCGCTACCTTATTGCATGGCGAATGCATTGGGAGTCTTGACACTTATGATGACATCTTTCCTTTCGATGCCCGTTCTGATACGACACCGATGTCCGTGGATGCTGTCACAGCTGGCACCGCGCCCTCACTACGCTGCGCAACAGAACGTCTTCGTCAGGTAGACACCGGCCTTACGCAAGACCAGCGCAATCAGCTCATTTAACTACTTGACCGTTTCCGCGCCTCCTTCGACCACGGACAACCTCCCTTGGGACGCATGTCAGTTGTCGCTCACCATATCGACACCGGTCATCATACTCCACTTCGTCAGCGCCCCTACCGCGTCTCGCAGGCCGAGCGTGACGTCATCACTCAACACGTCGACGAGATGCTGCAACGTGGTGTTATTCAGCACTCGCACAGTCCTTGGGCTTCGCCAGTGGTCCTCGTGCGAAAAAAGGATGGCTTCATCAGGTTTTGCGTGGATTATTGTCGACTAAACAACATCACACGCAAGGATGTTTATCCCCTGCCACGCGTTGACGCCTTGGATTGCCTTCAAGGTGCGGAGTTTTTCTCTTCACTGGATCTGCGCTCTGGATATTGGCAAGTACCAATGGCTGAACCAGACCGTCCAAAAACGGCGTTTGTGACCCCTGACGGCTTATATGAATTTAATGTAATGCCCTTCGGTCTTTGCAATGCGCCTGCGACTTTTGAAAGAATGATGGACAGTGTCCTCAGGGGACTTAAATGGCACATCTGTCTTTGCTATTTAGACGACATAGTTGTATTCTCGGCGAATTTCGAAACTCATCTTTCCCGTCTGGAACAAGTTCTCCAGTGCCTTACGGCAGCCGGGTTGCAACTTAACTTCAAGAAATGTCGTTTTGGCGCCCGCAAGCTCACAATTC